ACAATCCAGACAGTCAGATGCTACGCCGGAAATTTCTACGTCAACTTTCGTTTCAACTTGTAGAAAGTCACCTCAAGGTACGGAGTCTCATAACAAATATTCCAAAAACATTGAGTGGGAGAATAAAGGAAATTGTTGGAGAAGAAAACATTCCCGAGCCGAGTACTGAAAAACCACCGAATGTTAGAGGACGCTGCAGTTTTTGTGACCGGAAGAAAAATAGACCAACGAGATTTTATTGTAAGAAATGTGAGCGATATATATGTGGAGAACATTCTTTGTTCCTATGTTCCGACTGCTACACAGAAATGAATACTCGAGAATGATTTCTTCTTGTCAATTTTTATTTTAATCACCTTCTCTCATATGTTTTTTTTTATATTTTCCAAACAATACCAATATAAATATTATTTTATTGCATAGTAGTGTTTTTTGCCCTGAAAACTGAAAGCGGACTGCCAGTCCGCAGCGAGTACTTGTGTACCAGGAAGAGCGCGAGTATTGGAAGGTTAATTCATTTTTTTTCTAACTTTAAAATAATAAAAATTCTGAAATTGTCCATGTTACAAAAATTGCCTTCCTTTTAATAGCAATCTACTCACAACCCCTGTGCCTCCGATGTACAGCTGCCGTAAGCACTGGAAACGTTCAAATTTTCATTTATTTTCATAAATAATCATTTCACAAGAAAGTACGTTTCAATACCCAATCTATAAATCCATGATATCAATTCAAGTGTGAAGAAATATCACAGCCGTATGATTTTTTAACAGCACAAAAATAAAAATGTTCATTAAAAATCGAATATTCATTCAGTTCACCAAAACTTACTCGAACATTCAGAATGAGTTGAGGAAATTTTAACTGGCGATTTCTCAAAAATGGATGAGTGTCCAGATATATCCATATTATTTCAAGGAGACGATTTGACGATTCGGACAGTGACTCGATTTTATTCCGGATTACAATGGACCTATTGTTAGACATTCTCGTCTATTTAATTCAAGTCCTGAGGTTTCAGCACTGATCCAAAGTGATTTTGACAGTGATAAAATTTCGCAAGAAATGCAGAAGAGAGGAAAGAAACTCTGCAAGAAACGAGTTAGAGATCAGAGCACCTGGAAAAGAAACGTGAGTAAGAAACGGAGGGCTGAAGAAAAATCATATATAGGTTTGGATAAGAAGAACAAGTGTGTGAAAGAAGGAAGAAAAACTGGCAATGACTGCAACTGTAGATCGAATGCTTCAATAAAATTTACGATCTTGGTGAACTTGAAATTTAAAGAGTTTTCAATGATATTGGCAATGAAGAAAAGCAAGATATCTTCATTGGAACAAATAAGTGTAAGAAAAGTTGAAAGACAGGGGCCTAGGTCTGGTGAGAGATCAAACCGCTCCTGTTCATGCGTATACTGTATAAAAATTGGTACAATAGATCTGAGGGTGAGCAGAAGAGCTTTTTGTTCACCACATCGTATCAGTAGGAAAAGAGTAGTGCTCATTGTCAAGATTTCGCAAAATAATATACCTGTACCTAGAGATAATCGTGGTAAACATGCCAATCGTCCTAATATGATTCCTGGAAATATATTACATCAAATTGATTCTCATATTGAGTCCTTTCCAAAAAGATCGTCTCACTATAGTCGCACACAAAATAAAAATAAATATTATTTGAGTCCTGAACTGAATATGAACAAAATCAGATGTTTATGCCACTACTCAGAATGGTCAACAAGTGAAGTATCAAGTTACTTATGACTATTTTTGCAGCAAACTAAAACTACTCTTCTGGGAAATCGCGTTCTGATACAGGTCAAACGTGTGACAGACTGGACAATATTTCATCTGCAGAAAAAGATGAACAAGTAAAACAAAATCTGAAACTAGAAAAAGAAGAACATGAAAAACAAGCCAACTATTTTTATTCAGAATTAAAGGAAGATATAGCAGTGGTCAAAATGAGCAACAGTCAAACTGAGTTATTAGCATTTGATCACCAACAAAATATGCCCCTTCCTAATGTTCCAAGTGGAGATGTCTTTTTAAACGTCAGCTTTGGCAATATAATTTTTATATTTTTGTAGCAAGCACATGTAAGTCGTACTTTTTTATGTACGATGGAACAGTAGCCAGAAAGGGGCAGAATGAAGTAATGAGCTTTTAAAATCATTTAATCAGTCAATTTGTACCAGCGACTGTGACAATTTATTTCTGTATTCCGATAACTGTTCATCGTAGAATAAGAATCAAACTTTAGCTTATCATCTCTATAGCTTATCATCTCTATACCATCATCGATAATAAGAAATTCTCCAAAATACTTCACAGATATCCAGAACCAGGACATAGCTTTCTTCCATGTGACAGACATTTCGGCATAATAGAAAATGAGAAGAGGAAACGAGAAGGGATCGTCTTACCCGAAGAATGGGTTTCTTTGGTTAAACATACATGTCGCAAATCTGAAATAGTTAAAGTTACCCAAGATATGATTCTGAAACTCAGTGAATATTTTAGTTCACTCTTCAAGAAATCTGTAGTCAACAAACGGAAACAAAAATTTTCCATCTCTTCCTATCGATTTATAAAATACCTCTTAAGCGTCCTAAGTATCTTTATGTGGAAGAACTAGCGAAAAAATACGTATCAGCAGAGTGTATGTGGTTTTACGAGGGTCTCAAGTATCAAGGAGGAGAACAGCCCAACCAATCAGAAGACAGCTTCACAGATGTTTAAAATGTTCAATTCAACAATGTATAATAATTTTGTTACTTGTTTCTGACTGAAAACTATTCATAAAATCTGTTTTCAAGAACGCTTTCAAAAGAGTATGATGTCGAAATTAAATATTTAGGATGAATTTTCATGAATTATGGAAACCACTCAGATAAGCCATCCCTCTATTAGAACAGTGAAGATGTCCCGATACCATCAAGTAACTTGCGAAAGCAACAAATCAAATTATGAGATTTAGGTATTAATTTAAATGACACCATGCTGAAGACCTATGATTTCGTTAAATATGCACCTATTGAAGGGGATAATATTAAAATCATTGAATGCAGAATGATAATACGAATTTTAGAGACGATGCTATGAAAAAAATTACCTACATCGGATTGAAAACGCCCTGGATGGCTACTTTAGCAGTATTGAATGAGTCATTTCAGTGTCATGGTATATACATAAACATGTGTGATATAATCAGGGAGATAGAGAAAATTATGAGGGAAACAGAGTGGATAGGGAACTTGGTAAATTGGTATACAAAATGAAAAAATACGAAGAGGTAAATCAAAATACCAAACTCCGGGAACACCCTACATAGTGACAAATTCAAACAATATATACCAGAAAATCAACTCGAAAAAATGTCATTCCGACTCAAAAACAAGGAATATGCGAACGCTCACTATGAAATTATTTAGACCTCATGTATTCTTCAATTATTATCACAGGTTTCTGAGTGAACAAATCCTCAGTTGCTGACTTCGCTAACAGATGTCAGTAGGGATATCGAAATAGATATATTCAACAAGAATTTTTTACGAAGATACGAACAAAGTTGTTTTCTATAGCAATTCATCTGCTAAATGAAGTGTGAGGTTTAGGGCCACATTTTGATTGTACAATCGTTTTATAATTGTTGAAAGCCTTGAGGTGCCTGAACTGAGATATTTCGTGAAATATTCTGAGTGTTACGTGGTTTTAGGTGAGTCCTTAATATCATGAAAGTAGATTCGTTCATCACAAATAAACAGCTACATGTTCTCCGATAGGTGTTTAGCAAGACTTTTTCGTTTTAGCCTATGTAACTTGTTTGTTGGGATCACCAATAAATTGTTCGTCCGAATGAACCATCGCGAATCATTCCTCTCTGATAACCCACTGGAAATTCATATAAATCAGCGATAAACAGGGTGTTTTGCTACACTCTTCACTTTGAAGTCAACGTTGAGGTCAATATTTCTATAGCGACTCTGTCGTCCTTAGCAAAAAGGCGGTATCTGCAAAAAAATCCAAAAATCAGTTTTTTGTACTGTTGAACTCCTGATGGAATGAACTATCTCTCTACTTATGGAGAACGCGGTATCTGCACTCTAAATAGTTCATTTTCATACTTTCAATATGCGGTATATGCGAGAATACACGCAATTGCTTCGGAATATTGCAGTATATGCACATTACTCAACTAAAATGCGGTATATACGCGAGAACCGCTTGCATTTACCGCCTTTTGGCAATGCAGGCCGTAGTTACCGCGTTAACGTCGAGGATTTGCAGTAACATCTGTGTCGCCTTACGAAGTTCACGTGAATTTCTTCTCAACCGATTAGTGAAAAATTGATTATATTGAGATTTGAATGTTGTTCAAGTATTTTGAATATTAGTTTTGTGAAAATAATGAGTTTCCACCAAATTTCTATGGCATCTAAAAGGGCCAAGCTGATATTAGCTTGAGCGGAAGCTTGGAATAATAACGACAATACGCAAATGTAAGTAGTGGGAGTAACTATGACTCTCTTAAGAGATTGACCTGGAGTGTTTGCTGAAAGGGGTCGTCTTGCGGCTTAGGGCCGTGAGATGGCCCCTAATCTTTCACTGAGCGCGAGCACTGCACTTTCCAAAACACTTGTTGTTTCAAGTGCGGTGCTCTCATGTTACTCGGCAGCCGCCCTTACGAACAGCCAAGGTTGGTCGTAAGCGCGGATGTCTACGCTACCGACCTCCACGTTGGTACCGCTGGATAGCCCCACCACTAGCCGCAGTGCTGCGGCTGTGATGGGAAACTGACTGGTAGCATCCTCGCGCGTCTGACCCCGGGCGCGCAAGGGAAGCCCTTATGGCAAGGGCAGGGGAAAGCCGCCATTGGCCTAGCTAGCCGATGAGCGGATTATTACTAGCTCCAAATTCAGATGGCGAAGCCTCGGATGGGGCAGAGGACGGCCCCCCGCCTGCCCCATTAAACTTGGGGGGCCAATGATGACGAACTGGCAATGGACGCGGAATATGATATCTGGGTGCCCTTCGAGCAATTCTCCTGTCAACGGTGTCTCCAGCACCTTGACAGGAACTTCCTAATGCTCTCATTAGAAGGGGTAAAAGTTCACTTGAGGAAGGAGCACCCACACGTTAAAGTGAACTACGCTTGCAGACTATGCAGGCAAAAGCGTGGCCCAAAACTACATGCTATACAGGTGCACACCGGTAAGTGTCGAGGGGAACAAGCCTTGGTGCAGCTTGACTTTCCTTGCGAAGAATGTGGGGCGAGCTCCAGGTCTCAGCGGGGACTCTCGATACATGAGGTCACGCAACACCCCGAGAGACGGGATGTGGCCAGGGCAGAGGCTGCTCAGCAGCCGGCGAGACCACGCGCTCCACGGGCAGGCACTGTTTTCACTGAAAACGAAGTGCAGGTCATGCTGGAGTGCGAGGTAACGTACTACGGTCACAAAACCGTCGCCAAAATGATGGAGCCTCACCTGTCAGGGAAATCGAATGAGCAGATTCGAAATAAGAGGAGGCTCACCTCTTGTAAGACCGCAAGAGATGAGTTCTTGGCAGCCCATCTTGGTGCGGTCGGTGGGGCCCCTGAACCTGCTGAGCAGGAGCAAGTTGGCGAAATCGATGGTCGCCAGGACGAGCTTCCTCAAGCGGCTGAGGTGGAAGAGCGTGCTGCATCTCCACCCGTAATAGTCGTAGAGGAAGCGCAGCTAGAAAATGTTGCTGAGGAGCCGGAGCATGGGGCAACTCCGGAACCACAGCCGGAAATCGAGTTGGAGACGATCTCCATCTCTGACGACGAGCCGGCCGTGGAGGAAATCGCGTCTCCTCCAGAAACTCCTGATGTCGAAGTCCAGCCAGCTCCGACACAGGTAGCTTCCCTAGTCGATGACTCAATAGTGATCGAAGATGTCGTGGTCCCGCCAGCAGCAGGCGAGGAGCCGCAGATCGATGAGGTTGTAAGTGCCTGGCGGCAAAGGATAGTCACCTCTGTCCTGAGCCGGGAGATGCCAAGGCATGTTCGCTCCTTCCCTGTCGACACGGCGATGGGTATCCTGCGGGACGCACTTCTGCGGGCTAACGATGAGGCAGGCAACCTCTCACAAGTTGAAATTGACATTGCCTACAGCGCGGTTAAGGACATAGTCCAAACCGAAAATGCAGAAGTGCCGGGACAACGCAGGAACCAGGAAGGAGGTAGAGGTAGGGGTCAGCGACGCCGTTACCTCTATGCTCGGACCCAAGATTTATATCATAAAAACCCTGCCCTGGTTGCAAAGCACGTCCGCACAAACGTGGACTGGCTGGAGCAAGGTGGCGTCACTTGCCCAGATGCGGACGTGCGGGAGCTGTACAACAGGCTGTGGGGACACAGACCTGACGTACAACTCCCTGACTTAGGTCAGAATGAGCCAGAGAAGGACTTGGGAGCGGTCCTCTCTGAAATAACAAAAGAAGAAATAGTCGCACGCATTAAGCGAATTAACCGGTCCACGGCTGCTGGTCCCGACAATATCAAGATCAGCGACTTGAAAAGACCAGCAGTTTACGAGGTGCTCCACTCATTTTTAAATCTGATCATGGTTTGAAACAGGCAACCCATGGAGTGGAGAAAGAATCGAACGACCCTAATCCCGAAGGAGGAAAAGGATGGCAGACGGGCGGAGAATTACCGTCCGCTGACCATCTCCTCGCTTCTGAGTCGAGTATACTTCGGCATACTCGACCAGAAGATTCGGGCTTGGGTGAAGTTCTCACCTCGGCAGAAAGGCTTCGTTAGCGAAGCCGGCTGCTTTAATAACATCCACATCCTGGACGAGCTGCTGCGGCATGCCAAGGACAACCAGGGCATGGTAGTAACGATGCTTGACGTTGCCAAAGCTTTTGACACTGTCCCGCATCAGCTGCTCAAGCAATCGTTACTGAAGAAAGGTCTTCCACGTCCAGTGGTGCGGATAGTGGAAGACGCATATCAGGATGTGGATACCACGATATGTGGAAACGAGGCGTCAGTCGACATACGCCTCCAGCGCGGGGTCAAGCAAGGTGACCCCCTAAGTCCATTTCTATTCAATGCTGCGCTGGAGCCATTGATAGAAGCGCTGGAAAGCGGTCCTGGGTACAACGTCGATGACAATACAAGTATATCTTGCCTGGCCTTCGCCGACGACATGATGCTCGTCGCGCAGAACGTACCACAGGCCAGGGAACAGCTAAGAAGGACGGAAGCGTACTTGGGGGCCCTGGGGATGAGCCTATCGCCCAGCAAGTGCGCTACGTTCCAAATAAGCAGAACAAGAGACTCCTGGTTCTTAGCTGACCCAGGACTCGCATTCGACAGTGGTGAAGGGGTTCCAGTAATGGGGGCTGGTGACCACCTTGTCTACCTCGGTGTGAAGATATCGCCATGGTTTGGGATATCTGTCGAGAGCATAAAAGCCGGCCTTGCTTCAACACTCAGCCGAGTCAGACGGCTGAAGTTGAAACCACACCTGAAGGTAGACTTAATCACCACTTACCTAGTCCCACACTACATGTACAGAATAGCGATGGCTTTGCCATCGCTTAACGTTACGAGAGAACTAGACCAGGAGCTGCGTGTAGTGACTAAGGATATCTTCCATTTGCCTCATTCAACAACCAACGGGTTGTTGTATGCAGCAAAGAGAGACGGGACTAGGTATACCGAGGTTAGAGTGGCTACTAACCTCAGCAGCCCTGAAAGCCGGGTGCAAATTTATGCAAAACCCCGACCCGACATTGCAAGCTCTAGCTCTGGGCACTAGGTTGGAAGGTCGTCTCAAGCGCCTCGCCCGAGCTACACGTATCAGCCTGTCACGGACCAGGACCTGAAGAGCTACGTCAAACAAAAAAGACGAGCCGAGCTTGCAAGATGGTCCGACCAGAGTTCTCAAGGCAAGTCGGTCGCGGCCTTCACCGACAACACTACTGCAGAATGATCACCGCCCTGAGAATGAGGACTAATTCATGCGCTAACAGGGTGGCGATGAATAGGGTCGGACCAGTACCGGATCTAGATTGTAGGCAATGTGGCACTCAGCTGGAGACTTTGGGCCACATCCTCGGCATGTGTAGATACACGAAGCCGTCTAGAATCCGAAGGCATGATGAGATTTGCGACCTCATCGTGCAAGAAGTGCAAAAGCAAGGTCGAGAGGTAGCAGTAACGGTGGAACCACCGACAATGGTGGTCCCCCGTGGCAGGAATCTCAAACCGGACCTGGTAATTCAACGCCAGGGAAGGGTCCTCGTGGTCGACGTCACAGTCCGCCACGAGGATGGGAATAATCTCGCAATGGGACACAACGACAAAATGCGAAAATATGGCCAACTGCTAGGTACCTCAATTCCGGCAAAGGTTTGGGTCGACCGATGCCGAAGTCCTACCGATTGTGGTAGGAACGAGAGGCGCGATGCCTAGAAAGACAATCCAAGGATTGCAAAAGCTGGGCATCACAACCAAAGGGGTATATAAGACCATCAGTCTTATTGCCCTACGTAGTTCCATCGAAATCTATCATGATTATATGGACTACAACGGCCTCTCCGTCGGGACGCTCGGCAGCCCCCCTGATGATTGACGCCACTCACGGGGGCATGAAAACTCTTGGTCTCACAGCTGCTTATCACTGATATTGGTGTTTTATGTTATTGATTGTGTTGTCCATAGGTAGTCATACCTAACTTCTAGTCAATATATTAGTCATTCATGTCGTTTTTATCCTTTTTACACTTATTTATTTATTTTATACATACATTTTATTTATTCAATGACTGTTTGTATTGTTTATACAAGGTGTTGTTCAAGTGGAGTGTGACTTCAGTGATAAGCATGCGAGTCGTTCGGCCCTTTACATGTATCGGTGCTACGGCGGCGAGCAGGATTCCTGGCCATGTTTTTCGGTCAAACCTTGGCAGCGGCTTCCACGGAGCTTCCCTGGAAACCAGAACCTCTTCGGAGGGGACGGGCTAACAGCTGTTTCTCAGCAATGGGACTCGTTCGGACTAATTTATTCCGACCGTAAACTGGGTCTTGGCAGAGAATGGTTTCTCTTTGACCAAGAGTGTTAGATAGTGGGGCGCGAGTTGTGTATGGCGAAAAGTTACCTGGGAGTTTCCCAGTATGGTTACGACAGCCTACATTTCCAAATGAAGTTCATGTACAACGCCGACCGCGGCACACATAGGAAAGTCCTCGAATGAATGTTTTGAGTCAATAGTGAATTATTATGACTTATGGTACTTCTTTTTATCAGTAGAAACTGTTTTTTGGCACTTATTCATCAAAATCTATTGTTTTCAGATCAATTCAAAACTCTGATAATGGTATCGATAATTCAGATTATTTATTGCATGAACTTCAACCTGCTAATTTGCCGAACGTATCAGGTTTGATAAAGCTAAATTTACCATGCATATTGTAAATTTTTTTTATCGCTTGGAGCGCAAGAAAGGGGATCCCTATAATGTTCAAAGAACATCGTGCGTTCCTAGGGAGGATAGGGATAGGAGGTAGTTATTGGAATTTGTTTTGAACTTCTGGAGATTATATGTTGTTGGGAATACTTCCTCAGGCAATGAATTCCAGAGCCTAGCCGTTATATGGATGAAGGAGTTTTGATAAAGTGCTGTTCGACATCTTTCGAGGTTGACAACGAAAGGATGTGCTGACTCGGCTTGTCTAGTTCGTCTGACTGGTATTGCTAGTGAAGGGATGATAGCAGAGATTTCTGAAAAACATTTCCCGTGGAAGTATCGATAGAAAAGTGAAAGGTCGCCGACCTTTCTACGGTGTTCCAATGATGTCAAAAAGTGAGTGAGTGTGGCGTCACCCACCAGGCGAATGACTCTTCTCTGGATGGAATCTAAGAGCATCAGCGTATGTTTTGGTGCTGAACCCCATATGTGGGAACAGTATTCTAGAACAGGCTCTATCTGCGCTTTGTAGATCATGAGGAGCTGTTGAGGTGTAAAGTAGCTTTTCGCACGGCACAAAAATCCGAGTTTTTGTGAAGCAGCTATTGCGATGGATCTGACATGATTATCCCATGAAAGAGTGTTGCTGATGGAAATACCGAGAAGAGATATGGTGGGCTTGGTGGGGATGGTGGTGCCAGACATAACAATGTCGGGCATACTGAGTTCCGCCTTTCTAGAGAAAATACAGGCTTGTGTTTTGGTGGCGTTGAATTCAACTAGGTTGTTGGTTCCCCAGGCTGTGATTTCAGCAAGGACTTCATTGACAGCATTGACCTTCCTGCGACGTGAGTTCTTTGTTTCCTAGGAAGGAACGGGAATTCTGGAAGAGAACGCAGTATGGAGGGTACCCAACAGATCATTGATATGGAGAAGGAATAATGTTGGTGCCAAAATTGTTCCTTGTGGTACGCCGGAATTGATGCCAATTCCATCAGACGATACATCGTCCACCACCACATGAAGCGATCTGCCTGAAAGAAAACTCGATAATAGATGGCATAGCTGAGGTGGTAAGCCGTATGATGGTAGTTTGTGGAGAAGTCCTTCGTGCCAAACACGGTCAAAGGCTTTCGATATGTCCAACGCGACAGCTAGAGATTCCCCGTGTTTTTCCAATGAAGCATGCCATAAATGGGTGACGTAGGCAAGTAGATCTCCGGTAGATCTTCGGTGGTGAAAGCCGTATTGTGTATCATTGACGATTCCCGAGCTCAGATATTTGATAAGCTCAATATTGATGGCTTTCTCCATCACTTTGGAGATTACTGATAACAGGGCAATGGGCCTGTAGTTGTTGGGCAGGTTCTTGTTCCTTTTTTTGGAGATTGGTTGGACTCTAGCTGTCTTCCAGCATGATGGAAAAATACCCGACCTGTAAGAGACGGTAAACAACTTGCAAAGAATCGGTGTTAATTCTGGTGCACATTTTTTTAGGATAATGGGTGGAATTTCATCAGGACCGTTAGCCTTATTCGTTTTGAGACCAAGCAAAATTCGTCTGATAGTGCGTTGACGGAAGACGATTTCGGGCATTCGACTCTCAACGGGTGGAATGTCTGGCGGCACTTTTTCTTGGGAATCTTAAGTAGAGTTTGCTGCGAACATCTCTGTAAAAATATTTGCTTTCTCCTGCGATGTTGTTGCTGCTAATGTGCCGTCGGATTTGAACAGTGGTGGAAATGAACTATTAGTGAAATTTCTTCCGACCGCTTTAGCAAGGGACCAAAACGAACGGGAGCCATTGGGACAATCTATGAATTTCGATCTTATCTTGGCATTGTATGTTTCTTTCGAAGCATCTATTGTTTGGCTGCAGTTATTTCTGGCATCAACGTATTCTGCTCTAGTCGTGAGGTTAGGGTTTTTGCGCCAGCGATGGTAGGCTATTTGTTTCAAGGCAACAGTTCTAGAACAGTTTTTGTTGAACCAGGGTTTCGATGGTGATGATCTTTTCGAAGAATGAGGTATGTATGTGTCCATTTCGAGCATTATGATCTCGGATATTTCCGCAGCACACTGTGAAGGGTCCTCAGAGTCAAAGCATACTCTATGCCAAGGAAACTCGGAGAAAAACATGCGGAGACCGTCCCAATCTCCTGAATTGTAATGCCATATAAGATGAGGGGGTGCCAAAGCAGTTGATGGAATGAAAAATGAGCAGGTTGTGGAGATGAGTGTGTGGTCAGAATTGCCAAGTGGAGCTCGTACATCTATGGTGTAGGGTGCTGAATTATTAGTGAGGAATAAGTCAAGTATGTTAGCTGAATGGTTATTGGCATCGGAAATTCGTGTGGGTTCTTTGATAAGCTGATCTAGGCCGTGAGTGATGGCGAAAGCTTCGGCTTGTCTCCCAGCTTCATCCGTTCTGGTAGAGTGTACGTACCAAGCAGTGTTGTGTACATTGAAATCGCCCATGATGATGATTTCTGCTGCTGGATGGTTCTGTTGAATTTGGTCAAGATACAGAGACAAGAATTTGAAGAGCTCTTCATAGGATGGATCATTTGGTAATAAGTAGAGACAACAAAGGTATTTGGTCTGTTTCTGGCTATCGAGCTTGAACCACATGACATCAAACTTATTTGGTTCCAAAGTTTTTTCTCGTTGACATGAGAGATTCGTTTTAGAGTAGAGGCAGAGACATCCCTTGAATCTGAAACGTGTGTGGAGTTCGTACCCAGGACAGAGCAGATAGGTCGTATTGGTGGATTAATTGACCTGTGTCTCAGTAAAAGCCAATATGTCTGGCTTTTTAATTTGAAGGTGTCGATGGACATCGTTGATGTTCTTACTTAGACCTCGGATGTTACATAGGTCTATCTTAAGGACTTTTTCAGCGATGGTGAACCCCCTCTAGCACCTCTCGCACGGAAATCCGAATGGAGAGGTATTTTACTTCTGGATAATTTCACTCGAGCAGAACTCATCATCGCTTATTCTGTATAGAGAAGGGAGGTTGGCGTGGAAGGAAGAGGAAATTGAGTTGGGTTGGCCGGAACATCAACCAGCTACTGAAACACGGGTAACTATACCCATTTCACAGTGCCTATGGTTGATGTGGTGGTATCGCACCGGGCGATGACGTTAACCATCTTCCACCTATTGGCGTCCTTTTAGTCACCTTCTACGACAAACAGGACTTATTGTGTGGTTATTCTCATCCGACCACCACACGGTGAAAGTTATTTCTTGGGAGATCGATCAGTTTTAATGATGAAAATGGTGTGTAGAAACATCAAATAACACATTAACGAATGATTTTGATCTATTTTTCAGAAGAGCAGGAGAATATACTCCACTCATCTCGTGATCTCGAACAAGTGGTCGATGAATGCATACGAAAAGGTGGGGTGTGCGTTATCACTCATTTCCATATCAATACATTTCAGAACTCATTACATTTTTCTAGATAATAATGAAGGATTGGACTATTCCCCAGAGATAGAAAATGATATGCTCCATATGCCCAGCACATCTGCGATAGTTGATGATTCAATTACTTGTGATTTTATAGAGAATGGTATGGAATTGGGTGTTCATGTACCTTTGATTATTGTAATGGAATACTTATTATTATTTCTTTGATTTTGAAGATTCTAATGGATCACATATCGAAGATAGTTCTGATGGATACAACGTTCCACTCACTGTGCTTAGGAAAAAAATGAATTCGAATCCTAATAGACCTGTTGATCAGAGACTGGATAATGAAGGTAAAAATATAATTTGAAAAGTTTCAAATTCAAATTCAAATTCAAAATTACTTTATTGTCTCAAGAATGGTAGTTCTTATTGACAAAGTGTTAGGGTGAAAAACAACAAACATATCATTTGAACATTTGAACATAGGGAAGACTACGCGATATATACATAAATACACATGAAATTCATCACATACATTTGTAGTGCAGACCACTACACGTCAATTTTACAAGGTCAGACGGCAATAAAATCTAAAAACATAAGTACATGATATATCTTAAAACCTTATAAAATCATGACAGACAATAATCTAAAAACCTACGATATTTAAAAAACATACAATATGCATTCATATATATAAATAAATAAAAGAACAATACAAAAGTATGGTAAAATGAGA